TATTTTGTCTCCAATCAGGAGTAAACATTTTTTAATTTTTAACCACAATCAGTTCAGAATCCGAACCAAGCCAATGCCGAAGTACTAAACCATTTTAAGTTGAGGAAAGTGATCAAAGTAATTTTTTCGACTGATAATTTATATTTTAAATGAATTATGAATAGTTTACATACTAATTATATTAGTGATAGTAGTATATATTAAAATTATTAATCATCGAATTACATCGGAAAAATGAATTCTCAACTTATCACTTTGACCATGCACGTGACGTTACGTCATTTTGTATGTCCGTTTCCTTTTCACGAGTTACAAGTTAAAAAATGTATTTTTATTTCTGTTACACAATGCCTAATTCCACATTAAAATTTATCTCTTTCTGATTTGTGCATGAGAAACTTCCAAAAATTCTAACATCATTTAGGTGTGAACTTGTGAAGTTTAATTAGAATCATAGACCTAAACTACAAGTCAGCTATATATTTATCTTTGATCCAACCACGGACCACATCTATTGACACTGTTTGTTTCCCTTACAACTACTTTTCGTTTAAGATGTCCTGTTCTCTAATCTTTAATGTTCAATAACAAGATATTCTAATAATGGTTAAACCAATGTATAATTTAGATCCATAACAACGTACGTAAATTGGATTGATTAAGATGAATGAAGTCTCTAGTACAGTCTCATATTGACAAGAAGAGGAGCTACACGGATCTGATCGTGGGACGACGGAACGATTCGAACCTCCGTATAGTGGAACCAAAACCCATATGAGATCTAACAGGTTGGCTTTTCTAACCCTAAAAATAATGTACAAGAACACTTTACACATGTACTAAAACTTGAACTTTCTACATGTGTAATCAAATCTTATGATATGAAGTTTGAACTAATCTCAGAGTTTATAGAATATCTAATTGGTTTTGTTGTGGATGTGCGACAAGCCGAAGATTCCAAGCTTACATGCTAACCATATATAAAAATAATACTTTACCGCATTTTATTGGGGTTAACATTTTCACGGTAGATCATCCAAAATTAATTAA